TGGTGTGCTTAAAATATAGTAAGTCAAAGGTAGAGCTTCGACAGGTTTTAACGTCTAAACTCTACTGAATTGTTTCTATGGAAACGCCGATGCTGGAGGACTTAAATTACAGTATATCCGCAGAAAAAAGGAGCCTCGCCAACTTAAATATGGCAAATAAAAAGCAAAAGCAATGCCTATCAAGTACTTTTCTAAATAGAGACGACTATATTATTCGTATATAATTTGCGTGTAAGAGATTCGCGAAAAAAGACTTTGTGCAAAGTTAACTTCGCTTCAATCTCACCAAGTATGCCTGTTGCAATTTCGTGAAAAAGTGGCCACAATAAAAATAGTAAGGATAACTACTAATTTGAGCGTTGTTGCATCCAGTCGATATGAAAATGCGCTTTTGTGAACGCTTATTTTCAAACTCTAGGTACTAAGCACGACTGTGTAATGATATCTAAGCTTCGGTCGCTCCCACGATGAAGTAAATAAGTCCCTTTGTGTGAACGAGGCAAAATTCTGATTTGTATGAAAACTTTGGCGGCGAAGTCCTGAGAGTGAATCAAAACATTTCATTAGTTTCAGTTATGAGCAGGTGGATTCATGGGAATTTGCCAACCCACTGACCCGGGAAAGATGTTGATAGATAGCAAGATTGCAAACAGGTAGTTGTATGGTGGTATAATTGTTTTTCTTTGCACGCAAAACTTATGTTTATGTCCGAGCTCTAAACCGTTAAGAACTTAAAATCTAAATGACAGCTTTWAGAAGAGTTTTATGCAACGTTCTGTCTCGGAAATTTAAATTTYTGTCMCGTCTCTGTTTGTGAATCAAGTTGTTTTAATCTTTGACTCCGCGCGCACGCGTCTGCAGTTGGGAAGTTTTGGCGCCAAATAGCTCTGACCAATAAGCGGCTTRCCAGGTGATGTAATCGTCAWGTGTGAAGGGTTACTTCATCCTTCAAAATTGCAGGTAAGCCATAGCGGCTTCAGTGCTTCGGAAAAAATGCCAGTTTTGAAGTGACTCGCTACTAACGGAGGACGGAGATTTAAGAAAAATATGGGCGACCACATACAGTATCGGCATTATGAYAACATGGATGTACTATTTTATGAACAACAGACTCACCAACAAGCACCGAATGCKTATCATAAGTACGATAAGAACTCCATGCGTTTAAATCTTCGTCCATCTCATGTTACCGATCAAGAAAATCATCGACCACAGATTAATGACAGGAATTCAAACATTGGAATGTTTCATCAGTCGCCGGACATAAATGGCATGTTTAAGATAGTTTCYCCTGAGTTAGAACGCTTTATCGGAAATAATACGGGTCTTACGCCGCGAGGCAATCAACCTGGACCAATTGCGTCGCCTGAATTTCCTCTTTTYAGTCTTGTSTCGCCMGAGTTTGAGAAAATCCTCGCGAGTATTCAAAATAAAACGCCAACTCCCACGAGRATCTTACGCGAAGGAAATAGTGTAGCAAAGCAACGTGAAGTCTACGTACAAGGCTTTGCSGAAGCGTTACAACACATCCACGATCAACAGCARCACACGCATCAAGAGCACGTCGTCCAAGAACATACCAAGGTAGAACCAGTACAGGTAAATCAATATGGCTGGCAGACCGAAAGAACTCAYGATTCTAWCTCTCAYTACGATTCGAGAGAGAATTCTAGAGATAGCGATAGCGCGAGGTTTGTCACTTCAACAGAACACTGCGAACAAGACGTTAAAATTAATCACATGACCGCGACGTACGAGCAATCGGTAAGTGAMTTTGACGAGACGTCGATGCGTAGCCGAGGKCTAAACGTGCTACCTCTACCTCCGATAAACTTAGAGCTGCAAGAAATTGTAAAACGAGAGAGAAAAAAGCAAAAAAATCGTGTCGCTGCCTCGAAATGTCGAAGRAAGAAACTCGAACGAGAAGCGCAGTTAGAAGTGCGAGTCCAACAGCTGAAAGAAAAAAATATYGAGCTCAATGCCGTAGCAAGTGCACTTAGACAACAAGTCGGAGAATTGAAGCAGCGTGTATTRGAACACGTAGCATTTGGATGCCAATTACCTACTGTAACAACTGCAGCYTACTAATATTTGATACGAAAATTGCATTTTGCTGGATGGATWAAGTGCTCAATAAGCAGTCAATGAAGAAGGCGCACTCCGCACAGAGAACCATCTTAAGGAGTAAGAACGTTTACACTYTTCCCGGTGGATTTAAATATCGAAAAACCCTGTAGAGAGCGTTTTGAACGTGTATGGGACACGCAAAAATACTCATTTGTGGGTGTCGCATCACTATCTATTATCGTCAAACAGCGGTTTAATGTCTGATCACCGTAAACAAATCGCGTCTACTCGTGGAAGAGGCCTCACAACTGAAGAGAGGCACGTTGTATTTTTAAAACCCGGGGAAATACACCGCGCAGAGCACTTAGTATAGGAAGAAAAAAGAAAATACATWTTTCAAGTTATTTGAAAATTTTATTGCTCGTTTCAAAGCGCAAAAAGAATTGACAATTTTTCGATTCAGCTTAGATGGAAAACAACACTTTTRACTAATGTGTATATAACGGAAAGTGATTTTCCAAAACCACAAAAAAATGAAAAGAAAAGATTGTCGAAAATTTGGTTTTAGCGCTAGCCCGGAGAAAATGGACGACAATTTACCAAATATAAAAAAAAGTAATAAGGAAAGCAGGTCTTTCCGTTCCACTTCTATGAATTCAAGAAAAAAAATTATTTTTACATATAAATCAGAGAGCCTATATTTTCGTAAATTTATAACACACTCGCAAAACAGTTAATACGTTCAAAATATTTATCTTTCAAACGACAAGAAAGTTCAATTAATATTTCTCATTGAAAAAATGCTATAAATTATGACATGATCTCAATGTAAAATTATCAAAATAAAACATGTATATTATTTCTTTAGTAAATGTAAATAGAGAAAAACTATATTTCAAATACGTATACTCTATTGAAATACTATTATAATTTATGGCAATAAAAAAGCATCTGTATTCCTTGAAGCTGCAAAATGTCTTCCCCTGCATGGTTAAAGAGTAATAAACAACGCAAACACTCGGGAGCCATGATAATTTGCTGAACTTACAGAATATTTACATTCGTCTGTCTAAAAAACCCTGTAAATGATTTCGATTCCTGTAAATATCTTGCACTCTCCATAACCCTGTAATTTTGATTACAGCAAATTTACAGGATCMGAAGCGCCGCGGTGTTTTTCMATTTTTTTGTGGTCATTTTGATCTTAGAGAATAATGCCAAAGGATTAACCTGTAAACGTTTATTCGGTACACTAAGATGAAATGATTAAACGTCTATTTACAAGGATAATACAAAAACTACTATAATTTGGAGAATCTCCCGAAAAATCGCGGTAAAAATCGAAGTGGAAYCGGCCTTCAGAAGTTCCAAAATTCGTCGAGATATGAAGTTTTCAAATCAGCTTATTTTACAAAGAAATGTATGGTTGGAGAATGGCCTACATCTCTGTAAAATGAGCAATTTAAAAAATTTGTATAATATTATATTTGATGTTTACATAAGTGTTTAACTGAATCGTATCTTGGCATTTTAGCTAGGGAACCATTTCATGTTGTGTGGAAATATTCGTTTGGCGGCCATTTTGRAGCGGAAATGATTGTTTATCTGTTTTACAAATAATTATTGTAGTGTAAACTACCTGCATTAAGAGTAAATTGTTTTATCAACAAACACTTAATAATAATGCTCCTCAAATGCTCAACTGAAACACGAAARAGAAAATATGATGGGTAAATCTAAAGCATTGAGTTAGAAAGAGTAGAAAGCGAAAGAAACTCAATAACAACTGAAGGCTGATTTACACGGCACGATTTGTCGCGCGCGACTTGTAGTATACGATTTTCCTACTACAAGTCGTAGGATTTTAAGCAGTGGTTCAAAATCCTACTACAAGTCGTAGGTTTCGTACGACTGTTGTAGACAAGTCGTAGGGGCATTTACACTGCGCGATTCAAGTCGTATACTACAAATCGCACGAGACAATCGTGCCGTGTAAATCAGCCTTAACAAGTTAAAGAAGATGCAGATCATCAAAGAGAGGAACTGGAAGTGTAAGAGGAAAACGTCAAGACGAACAAAAACAGGGAAGGAAAGCTGAAGATCGAGAGAAAAGAGATCAATTACTATTAAGAAAATTGAGAAAAGTGGACAAAAGAGGATGAAAATAAAAATMTTTCATTAAGAGAAGAAATAAAAGAAAAAAAAGGAAGCAAAGGGAAAGAACAACAAAAGGGATCATTAGAAATATCAAGGATGAAAAGAGAAGAATGAAGACACAAGTGGAAGAGGAGGACGAAGAATGAATAAGATAAAAAAATAAAGAGAACTACTAAAAGAAAAATATCAGCGAGAGTTGCCCTCAAAAACTTCGAGTTCAGTTCAAGAGATTCTACAATTTACAATAACAAAACTACTTAACAAGAATACGGTGCTTGTGGAAAAAAACTTAATAAATCAAGTGTTTTGAAAAAGAAAAATAATCAAAAACGGAAGAAAAAACGGAAGAAGAAAATAAAATGTCAAGAAATTTAAAAAATTTTAAACATGCTTCTCTTTAATGAACCAAAACAAAAATATAACTAATTTGCTCAGTTGGCCGGAAAAAGGAACTTGAACTATTGTGTCAAAATTTTCCCAAGAAATTTTATAAATRTTTTTGTAATATTTCATTTTCATTTTCAAATTAGCTGACGATATTGTCAACTGTATCATCCGTTGATAATCCAAGCCCTTATCCACAAGTCTGACACTCGGTTATCAAATTACTATTCGTCATTATAAATAACAGAAAATATCCCTCTTTTCTAACAAACGATAGTTCTAAATTCAAAATACAAGACCCMATACGAAAAATTAACTGTTCACCGCCTTGAAATGTGGTCTGAACATGTAATACGAAAAAAAGTCATTTCAAACACGATGGATCTCTTCCAAAATGTTTACAATGCGTCGAAGTGTAGAAGATAACTGATATTTGGGGTCAGTAGAATTCTTGCAGGTGGTTATAATCATACTAGGTTAATGGGGTGTTCTGAACACGAAATGATTTCTAGCAGTAATTTTTTTTTAGTGGGGGTGGGGGTGGGGGGAGGGAAATATCTTGTTGTCATGATTTACCAATGCTTAGTTATAGCCAATTTCATTGCCTTCTGGTCAGTTTGGAGTTCATGGATGCTGGTATTAACAAAAGGACCAAACCTATGGAAAGTGCACATGGCTTGTTGAGCAACTTTCGAAGATGCACTGTTCGAAATGATCGACTTGACAGCCGTTTATATAAAGGATGGKAGATCTGCGACGCTATTGGTGCGAAATCGCCGTCCTGAACAACCGTCAAATATGACTATCAAGTGTTAACGACAAGAGTTAATTACAGTTTATTTAGACACATGGATCTCATTCGGATCACTTTACTGGTGGCAACCCAATCATAAAGGACCAAAAAGAATTTTATTTTTTTATGGTATAACAACTCTATCGCAATAACAAAAAACGCCAATTCCCGTGATAGATTTTATTATTATTATCATTCAAATTATAATACAATTTTGTGTGATTCCCATTTCAGTTAATCCTCTACGTAAAAATATACGCCAAACGGCGGTTTTAATCCAATTTGCACATTTGTTAAAACAATTGTTCGTTCAGTGAATCAAAAAGAAACTCCTTTTGTTAGGAATTCAAGAGGTCACGCCTAAAACACGTGGTCCTCCTTCGAATGTTCGATCAAAGACGMAATGTACATATCACCTCGTGGGCTCGAACAAAGGTGCCCATCATTTTTAATGCGACTGACTCGCCATTATTTATCAATTAACTCGCGACGCTCGCGATTGGAGTACGACAGCGGTTCCGCACAGAGAATCTTTGTAAATATTTACTTCTGCACAACTAAAATGTTACTCTCCGTGTACTCGATGTTTTTTCAGYTCCTTTCCGATACATTTAGGAATTTACAAAAATAACTTTTTACAGAACATTTCCATATGCAAAACGCATTGTCAGTGCTTAAATAGATAGTCTTTCCACAGTCTGGTCGTTTGTTTTACAAAGATTTCCTATGCAGACTTCGCTTGAAATTGTATGGTAATCTTGGCTCACTCTTTCCTCAGTCTATCGCATATCTGACACGCGTTAGCAGGTGCACCTATTATTCCGTCTAAGTTGTGACTTGAATCTTTAATGGAGGAGAAAATGTCCATTTGCAAGCGGCTGGTTTGTCTCGCGCAGACAGGATGTCCTTTGTGTTATTGTCGTCTGCCGTGCAGGTGATGTCAATCAAGTACTCTCCAGCGTAGAAAAACACAAAAGAACATGAATGTTGAAATGATGTTCCGCGGACAACCTAGAAAGTATACACCAGTATATAGTCTTAGAATAAAGCAAAACCCGCGTGAAAAAGACCCTTGGCTGGTTACACATGCTAGAAAAAACTTTCCAATTCATTTACGAGTTCAAAGTTTGGCTGGTTGGAAATCGTGAACATAGAAAATGAGATCGAAATAGTACGTCATGTGAAAGTACAGTTTTTATTCATTAGCGATGTTTTTCGCACAGTTGGTCGCCGACTATACAGTTGGTCGCCGACTATAATGGATTTAAATTATCGTCGGTTATTTTTAGTCTCTGTTCAGTAGCGATTGAAAGCTACCGTGTCATTAACTGACAGTCAATGTGTAGCGAAGCCATTTTGTCAGTGGAAAAAAACACGCTATGATGTACACTAAAATAATTACCAAACAAATCCCCGCATTTAAAAGAAACGACAACACTACGTATATTTTGGCAAAGGAAACATGAAAACAGATTTTGTGGATAACTACAAAGTTTTTTTTTTAAATGTTAGGACTATTATATTCTATTACTATTATACTATTAATATATTATTATACTGTTATACTATTATACTATTATATTATTAACTGAAATGCTTTGCTTGTAAAAAATAAAATGGCGTCGTTTCACATTTCCTGTTTTCCTTTCTTCAAAAGTTGGTCGTAGACACTGCTATATACGAATTACCGGGTTCCCTTTGTGTCTCAGTTTACATGAGCCCAACAACATTTACTCAAAGGACAGTACGTATATATATGATCAAAGAAATGCGTTGTAAAGACAGACAGAAAGGATGGGAAGGCAAAATGTTTGAGTTACTGAAAAATACTTGAACTAAAAGATCATGTTTTCTTCGAGAAATTGTACTAATGTACATGGTTATGGATAGAGCAAAAACCCGCGTATAAGAACCTAGGTTTTATAAAACTGTAAGACTAGAGCCACCACCCACCCCCTCCTCCTTTCCGCCCCCGCCGCCCCCTCCTTCCCCCTCCCCCTCCCCCAAGAATCTGAATTTAAAAGAGCTGCTGATGCTTCAGTGTATTCAAAAGTAAGTTGATGGTGTTCTGTTCTATAAATATCGTAACGAATATATACTATTTTCAAGTATTATATAAAAACTTATTCAACATTGATAACCTACATTGAACTAAGGGAACTAAGGGAATGGACTATTATAAYGCTTAGCTTGGGTTACCTGTGTTATTATTTCATTTACTATGCGTGCACTTACCTCGTTTTCGCACGATGACAAATCTCCGATCCAGGCCACTTTACCATTTAGTTCGCTCGCACGATAGCCATTCGCGTGGTCCTGGTACGGCTCAAATCGTAAAGACATGTTTTTGTACGATATATCTAGAATAAAACATGAATAATGAAAATATTTATATCTATGTTGATTATTTATAATATTAGCGCCGAATTGTATTGCATTGTATAGAATTATTGTTATAACTGTTGCCATAGTTTTATTTAACAAATAAATAAGGCTCAGCCGTGGTTTATACTCTGATAAACGCACGCTTGGTATTTGAAACACACGAGAAAATGTCAAGAAGCACGAGCTGAAAGCGAGTGCATTTGGACACTTTTTTGAGTGTGTTTCAAATGCCAAGCGTGCGTTTATCAGAGTATAAACCACAGGCTGACACTTATTTATTTGTTTTATTATATAGAATTTGAGCAAAACTTAAGCAATAATCCATTTTGTTGCCGTTTTCAAAAATCGCTCGCGCACAATCGTGGTTTATACTCTCATAAACCACACTTTTTTAGCCAATCAGAGCGCGCGTTAGAAATCATCTATATAATAAATAGATATAATTATTATGTATTTCTATCTTAGTGTCGTGTAAATATTAGTTAAACTTTAAAAATAAAAAATAAAAAAAAATAGGAATTCTATGAAAAACCACTTGATAGCTTTTCCTAATAAATGATTGTTATTTTTATTAAGTAATTTTTAATTAGTTGAGCAATGTCGACCTCAGAGTCTTTACGGCTAATGTCAGCGGTCTGCTGGATGGCCAAAGTGCACACTCTTGAGTACGAGATTGTAAGTTGAGAAAAAGCAAAACTCACTCCCTGACACCGAAGACCTCCTTGGAGCCTTCATTTTGTCTTCAAGGAGCGCTACACAACATGCAGAGACTGCGATATCTGGAAAGCATTAAACTATACCTGCTTTATTACTAATAACCACGCTGATTGTTACAGTGGCACAACACGTGACTGAAACGCCTTTCTCTTTGTTGAAAGTTTCGTTGTTTACTGAAACCTCTGCAGAACAAAAAGTAAAACATTTTACCCCTTTGATTATTTCTCTACGTTTGAGGATAACATAACATGACATGACATAACATAACATAACACAACATAACATAACACAACATAACATAACACAACACAACGCAACAACACAACATAACATAACATAACACAACATAACACAACACAACATAACACAACACAACATAACACAACATAACAAAACAAAACACGACACAACACAACAACACAACACAACACAACATAACATAACACAACATAACACTCAACACAACACAACACAACACAACACAATACAACACGACATAACATAACATAACACAACACAACATAACATAACACTCAACAAAACAAAACACAACACAACAACACAACACAACACAACACAACACAACACAACACAACACAACACAACACAACACAACACAACACAACACAACACAACACAACACAACACAACACAACACAACACAACACAACACAACACAACACAACACAACACAAC